ACAATTTAAAAACTCTGTGTCGCAGCGGGTAGCAACATATATTAGTGAGCGTAAACCCAACACCGCAAATGAGGGGGCTGTTATAGCCGATGAATTTTCATTGATTCACAAAACCTCTTTTGGCTACAAAAATGTTGGAGAACATTTTAAGAGAGAGTCATGGCATGACTTTAATAGACCTCCAAAACCTTTTGGTGGTATATCGGACAAACAGCGTCTTGGCTTTGTGGGAGGAAACGATAGAGAAAACGTCTGCAATTATTGTCATGAGTTTGGTCACTGGAAGAATGAGTGTCCATTGTTGAAATCTAAGTCATCTTCAGTAAAACCTGTTGTTTTGGCTATTTCAGAAGTAAATAATGTACAGAAGAGTTCCTTGTTACGTTGTTCAACATTTTCTCCATTTATCACAGATGGTTCTGTCAGATTGGTAAATTCGATGGAAGATATACCGGTCAAAATTCTCCGTGACACGGGTTCATCAGAGACATTTGTCCTAGACATTCCGTTCATCAGAGACATTCTAGTTTGGTCTCAGAGCCGCCTGCTCTCGCTCAGAGCGACGCACGTGCCGGGCCATCTGAACGACGGTCCAGACATACTGTCCAGGAACCTCATCTCCACAGGAGAATGGTCCCTGAACTCACAGACGGTCCAGTTACTGTGGCGACTATTCGGCAGAGCAGAAGTAGACCTCTTCGCGTCAGAAGAGAACGCTCACTGCCCAATATATTTCTCGAAGAGCGAGGACGCGCTAGCCCAGGAATGGCCTCGCCGCCCGCTCTATGCATTCCCTCCGATCGCTCTGTTACCACAGGTAATTCAGAGGATCAGGGACACACGCCACTCGGTGCTCCTCATAGCCCCGCGTTGGGAGAGTCAGAATTGGGTTCCGGAGCTCACGCAGCTGTCACAGACAGCCCCGTGGCCCATCCCAGTCAGAGCAGATCTCCTCTCTCAAGCTCGCGGCACGATCTGGCACCCCCATCCACAGCGCTGGGCGCTGCATGCATGGGTGATCAACGACTATTCGTTGATTTGCCAGAGGGAGTAAGAAACACTGTCATACAGGCTAGAGCACCTTCCACGAGAAGGCTCTATGCGTCTAAATGGTCTGTGTTCTCAAAATGGTGCACCGACAAACAGCTGGACCCACGGTCGTGCGAGGTGCCGTCTTTGCTTGTTTTCCTTCAAGAGATGCTGGACAAGGGCAGGTCCCCCTCCACTCTCAAGGTTTATGTGGCAGCCGTCGCGGCGTTCGCGGAACCCCGACGCGCTCAGTCATTGGGCAAAGACGAGTTAGTCATCCGCTTCCTCAGGGGAGCTAAGAGGATGAACCCTCCGCGGCCCCCGTCGGTTCCGGTTTGGGTTCTTTCTATAGTCCTTGAAGCTATGAAAGCACCCCCGTTCGAACCGCTCGAGTCTGTGGATCTGAAATACCTCTCGCTCAAAACCGTTTTCCTGACGGCTCTGTCCTCAGTTAAACGCGTTGGGGATCTTCACGCGCTCTCATCCAGCGCCGCGTGTCTTGAGTTTGGACCGAATGATTCGATTGTCATTCTCAAACCTAGGCATGGCTATGTCCCGAAGGCGATTGGTACCCCGTTCAGGGCTCAGATTATCTCCCTATCGGCTCTGACTTCATCCGATAGTGAGCGCGATGCCAATCTCCTTTGTCCGGTGCGGGCTCTGAGATTGTACACTACGCGCGCTGCCGCGTTCAGACGCGCTGAGCAGCTTTTCGTGTCGTTTGGGGGGCGCACCAAGGGTCTGGCCGCCTCAAAACAGACACTGTCTAGATGGATAGTGGACGCTATCGCCTCTGCTTACGCATCTAAATGCCTGCCCTGCCCTCTGGGCATCAGGGCGCACTCCACTAGAGGCATGGCCTCATCGTGGGCATGGTCCTGTGGAATTTCCATTCATGACATTTGTGTGGCCGCGGGATGGGCCTCCCCGTCCACTTTTGTCAGGTTTTATAACTTGGAAGTTCCCGCCTTGCAGGCAAAATTACTAGCTGTCTGACGAACAGCTCTCTAAGAAGCTGCATTTCTGGAGGTCCCTCACAACCGGTTCGCCCCTTGTGCTCTCCTGTAATGCTTATACACTTCATGTGCCCGCTCTGCTGGCCCCATACATGCTTATGTGTACACTTCATGAGCCCGCTCTGCGGCCTCTTTGTACATTCACTCCACGTTAAGAAATTCCCCCGGTATATCCCTGGGTTTTTCATGAGTGGATTCGTAGCGCGCACGGCGTTGGCCAGGTGTTCCCGCAGCGTAAGCTAGCTTACGCAATACGAGAGAACCTCTCGTAAGAGAACGAATCGGTTACCTAACGTAACCTCGGTTCTCTCTAGAAGAGGGAACGAGTATTGCGTTCCCGGCCGTGCTTGCGCTACTAGCGTTTCGCTTCACGCTGAAATAAATCAACATATAAGCCTGGGAGAGCGCCTTATATACACCATGGCCACGCCCATTCTGGCGGGTCATGACGCAATGAGCGCGCGGGCGCCTCTCATTGGAAGCGGGTTCAGCCCTGCTCTCCCATAGGCTTAAGCAGTTCTCTCTGAGCGAACCAATGAGCTGCTAGCTAGCCCGCTCTAGGTCTGCCGCAGAGGAACTGCGTTGTGTATGGATACAAAATTATGAAATAATTTTTTGGCTTCAATATCTCAGCAAAGATGAATCTTTCCCGCAGCGTAAGCTAGCTTACGCAATACTCGTTCCCTCTTCTAGAGAGAACCGAGGTTACGTTAGGTAACCGATTCGTTTTCTGCTCGAATAAACTTTTGGTACAGTCGTTTTAAGGACCACCAATGAGAGATGGGAGGAACAATAATATGATTTTATGACCGGGAGCCACGTGATAATGCCAGTCGGTGTCTTTGAGGACACATTTCTTGCTTTTATGGCAAGGACTCGAACACAAAAAAATAGTTAAAAAGGCAGATTTATAGCACAGGTCTAGCCCATTCAAATTTAACTCACGGTAACCTCAAAAAAGTCATTCCAGGGCAATGGCCTCGTTTCAGAGTTAAATGTCCACTAATGAGAGAGTGAGTACACTGTTGCACTTTTAATCCTCCTTATCGTTGCGTGATAACTACACACTTGGATAAATCGAGCAGGCTTATGCTTAGTCAGGGATTCTTCTTAAATGTCTATTTCGGTCAAGGTTTTCATTGGTAACTAGTTTGAAATGTGAGTGCAAGTATTTTAAGCTATCTATCTATACGATAGATATTTATAACTCCCTGAGCAAATGATTAATTTTGCAGAAGGCTAATGATGGGAAATCTGGATTTCTACTGTCGGTTGAGTGCCCCCTGCTGGCAACAATGTTACACAGCCACCAGCAATCAAAACTCTTGATTTAGTGGAAATTATTTCCAACTTCACATTAAACATAAAAAAGGAGCTGTTCTAGAGCAACACTTCATATTAACAAATCAGTGATTTAAGATTCAAAATCAGGGAAGTTGCTCAACCAATAGTTTAAAAATAGATTAAAAGAAGCCTATTTGAGAATGCACAGTACACTCACCTAAAGGATTATTAGGAACACCTGTTCAATTTCTCATTAATGAAATTATCTAATCAACCAATCACATGACAGTTGCTTCAATGCATTTAGGGGTGTGGTCCTGGTCAAGACAATCTCCTGAACTCCAAACTGAATGTCAGAATGGGAAAGAAAGGTGATTTAAGCAATTTTGAGCGTGGCATGGTTGTTGGTGCCAGACGGGCCGGTCTGAGTATTTCACAATCTGCTCAGTTACTGGGATTTTCACACACAACCATTTCTAGGGTTTACAAAGAATAGTGTGAAAAGGGAAAAACATCCAGTATGCGGCAGTCCTGTGGGCGAAAATGCCTTGTTGATGCTAGAGGTCAGAGGAGAATGGGCCGACTGATTCAAGCTGATAGAAGAGCAACTTTGACTGAAATAACCACTCTTTACAACCGAGGTATGCAGCAAAGCATTTGTGAAGCCACAACACGCACAACCTTGAGGCGGATGGGCTACAACAGCAGAAGACCCCACCGGGTACCACTCATCTCCACTACAAATAGGAAAAAGAGGCTACAATTTGCAAGAGCTCACCAAAATTGGACAGTTGAAGACTGGAAAAATGTTGCCTGGTCTGATGAGTCTCGATTTCTGTTGAGACATTTAGAGTCAGAATTTGGCGTAAACAGAATGAGAACATGGATCCATCATGCCTTGTTACCACTGTGCAGGCTGGTGGTGGTGGTGTAATGGTGTGGGGGATGTTTTCTTGGCACACTTTAGGCCCCTTAGTGCCAATTGGGCATCGCTTAAATCCCACGGCCTGAGCATTGTTTCTGACCATGTCCATCCCTTTATGGCCACCATGTACCCATCCTCTGATGGCTACTTCCAGCAGGATAATGCACCATGTCACAAAGCTCGAATCATTTCAAATTGGTTTCTTGAACATGACAATGAGTTCACTGTACTAAAATGGCCCCCACAGTCACCAGATCTCAACCCAATAGAGCATCTTTGGGATGTGGTGGAACGGGAGCTTCGTGCCCTGGATGTGCATCCCACAAATCTCCATCAACTGCAAGATGCTATCCTATCAATATGGGCCAACATTTCTAAAGAATGCTTTCAGCACCTTGTTGAATCAATGCCACGTAGAATTAAGGCAGTTCTGAAGGCGAAAGGGGGTCAAACACAGTATTAGTATGGTGTTCCTAATAATCCTTTAGGTGAGTGTATATAGGTTCCAAAAGAAGCCCAACAAAAACTGTAAAATGCTATAAGCAGGTAAATCCATTCGTTCGTGTGAAATACCCCCCCTCTGGTAGTTGGTAGGCTAGGCCAAAACTGTCTGTTATGATGCTGAGGCCGTCCTTCACGCTGATGGTTTCCAAAAAGTTCTCAAAAGTGCTGGCTATCCTTCTCAGGAATGAAAGGCCACGATCCTGGAGTAAAAAGTTGCTCAAATGAGACAAAAAAGCAATAAATGATTATGTAAGTGCTGCACTTTTAATAAATTCATACTTCAGTCACATTCTGTACAGATTACAGAATAGTACTTACATCCCTATTGGATGATACAATCAGTGATCCTGCAAGGCACAATGTTAGATTACGAAAACTGAGGAGGATACAATGAATGACGGGACGCGAAAGTAATGCAGGCCAGGGTACTGAATATTGCAATCAGCCAGAAAACTGGCTTCGTCTAATAACCAAATTTTTCCAGGTTTTCAATCAAAACCAAACACACATAGTGCTACATTTCCTACCTGACGAAACCCACATGATAATAACTGGGTAATTAAAACCAATCCTGGCTGAAAGAAAATATAAAAGAAGTGAAAAATACATGTAAGAGGAAAAACAAACATCGACCAGATAATATAAAGGTGTAAAAGGGTCAAGTTTTGATTAGCACTTCAGTGCAGGAGGAAATATACTGCACTTCACTTCTATCAGGTTACGACACACGTAAGGCAATCCAGAACACGGTTTAGGAAGGCCACTAGGCAATGCTCCACACTCCAGGTAGAATTAACCTCTTCACACTGATCAGAAGTCACCTTGCTATTAAATGAGATCCTAACAAACAGTGTGAAAGAGCAACATCTACCAGCAACAAGGTTTCTCATTAGTGGTAGCAGATACTGCCAATAAACATCCCAGAGGAACGAAACTGCTGTCCACAGCAAAAGACGATCCTTCTATCACAGGTCTTGAAAATCACAATTGTGTTAATATGGCACCACATCTAAAAATAAGAATGACAGCTAGGAAGTAGTATCCATACAGTATCCAAACTCCAGCATTGTCAGATTTGATGGACAGCAATACGGACCAACGGCCCGTGTGATGATCTCAAGTGGTGATTGGCTAAAGCACACTGACCGAGTGCCGTGACATCAAGACGACACACCGTCCTGGTCCATACTGCTTCCTAGCGCTTCAATGTCATTGCTTATGTCTGAAATCATACGGTCCCATTCGTCGCCCTCAGAGGTTGCCGTTCCCTCATCTGAACCGCCTGCAGCTCCGTTTCCATTGGTGGTGGAGTCCGACGCAGAGCTCGTCGTGCGTTTGTAGCGGCCAAAGCTGTCCGTTATGATGCCGCGGCCGTCCTTCACGCCGATGGTTTCCAAAAAGTTCTCAAAATGCTGGCTGTCCTTCTCAGGAATGAAAGGCCGCAATCCTGGAGTAAAGAAAAGAGGAATAGATTCGACAAATGAAGAGATTCTACGACACCGGTGCGCAAGAACAAACGTGAGTCTTGATGGGAGTTTGAAGTACTATTTAGTTTCAGAACTGTGCAAGAAGCTGTTTATTTTCTGGGAAGTAAATCCCTGACAATGACAGTCTGACCTTAATTTGTGATGTAAATTTCAGAATGAATCATTTGAACCTGAAAGAAGCTGTTGAAGGATGGAGAAGGGGCAACAAAATGACAACAAACTCACTAACTATTGGTCATTCATTTTATATATAAATGTAACGCTCACATATAAGTCTTAAAGATACAGCAGCAAAAAAAAAAAAAACATTTAATTCTAAGCGTCAGTGAGAGGGTGGAAAATCCAAATTGGGACATTTTATATTATAAATTTTTTTTTTTTAAAGACAATTAAAAAATATATTCTTATAAGCGAACCTCAGAGAATAATATGAATTGACTTCTTTGATTTCATTTTAAATAACAAAACGCTAGTCGTCTATACCTACTATGAGGAAGCAGCTAAAGTCCTTCTAACCAGTGTTATTTTAGGATTACGTACACTACCGTTCAAAAGTTTGGGGTCAGTGAGAATTTTATTTTTATTTTTTGGAGGAAAGAAATCAATACTTAATTTGATCGAAAGTGACAGTAAAGACATTTATAATGTTACAAAAGATTATATTTCAAACAAATGCTGTTCTTTTGAACTTCCTATTCATCAAAGAATCCAAAAAAAAAAAAACTGTACAACTGACAGACCAACAACTGTTTCAACATTGATAATAATAATAAATGTTTCTTGAGCATCAAATCCTCATATTATACTGATTTGTGAAGGATCATTTGACACTGAAGACACTGACACTGGTGATGCTGAAAATTCAGCTTTGATCACAGGAATAAATTACACTTTACTATATATTCACACAGAAAACAGCTGATTTACACTGGAATAATATTTAATACTATAACTGATTTTTGTTGTATTTTTAATCAAATAAGCGAAGCCATGGTTAGCAGAAGAGAATTCTTTTAAAAGTATTTAAAATCGTACCGACCCCAAACTTTTGAACGGTAGTGTATACATACTAAATATAGTATTTTATCAATTTGATTAGAGCATTTATTAATTTATTATTTTGAATCAAGTTTCTGATTCATAAGTTTAATTTCCTGTTAATTTGTCAATTTTTGTTTTAAATAATTCTATTTAGCATTCATTTATTTGTATTTTTAAACTTACATTTATTGCCAAAGCAACACTTTTAATTTTCATTTAAAAACAAATAAAAAACACTAAAATACAATTTAACAGCCCAGCATGTAACTAACCAAGGAGGAGGAACTTCCTGCTGTCTCCATAAAGCTGACGCAGGTTGATACAGAACTCATGGATGGAGGCTCCGTTTCTGTACTCGTGTAACAGTGTGGCAAACTGCTGGATCTCCTGAGACGACAGCTTCGTCCTCAACTATCGCAGAGGATGACAGGAAAGCAACAGTGCAAAAACTAAACATTTCATATGCGAGACTCTGAAACCAACAACAGACATCCAGGTGTACTTTTATACACTCACTGTGGTCATGTAGTCTTGTAGCAGTTCAGTAGCTGTTGTGCTCAGTTCACTCTCACTGGCTGTTTTGGTTTGTGGTGAGGCCGGGGTGGAGGAGGGGGAGGGGCTAGAGGAGTGTCCCGCCTCTAGAGAACTCTGGAAAGAACTGAGATTGGACAAAAACATGATTGCTCAATTCAACAGGAAAAAGTAGCACATTACCGCAGAGAACAGTTGAAGCAATACTCACAATGTGCTTGCCTCTGTCTCAAACACTTCTTTGACGTCTACTTTGCTCGAGGAGTCCTCTTTTATTGGACAAAACATAGGAAATATTTAGAATTATTTCATTTTGCTACAAGGTCAATATTTCACAGACTAAGCTTCGGGAAACATTTAAATATGGACCAGATGAAATAATAGTGATGGGAAACTGACTGTGGTCTGTGGTTTTGGGCAAGAATAAATTTACTGGAAAATCCCAAAACGATGAAGCTGTTGCTCACTCACCGCTGTAGATTGAAAGATGCCTGGTGGGCGTTGTGGCTCCATCAAAGATGGCCCTGTCCAGGAAGTCAATGGTAGACTCTGTGTAGACGATCTGGAAGACTTGACTGAGTAGAAGACAGAGCTCCTCTGCTGCAGCCTACAAAACCAGAGCTCATAGTAATCAGACCACTTCTGTTTTTATTGATTTGAGGTAACATAGAAAACAACCTTCAGAAAATCTGTCGCTTTTGCTATAAACGGCCTTGAAAGATACGGTTTAACCAAAAACTAAATTCTGTATGGTTTATCAAAGCAAGTTAAAGCAGATGTTAAAGCAATAGTTCTTTAAAAATTCGTTTCATCATGAGGAAAAGAATATATTTTGAAGAATTTTGGTAACCAAACAGTTGATGGGACCCCACTGACTTCCATAGTATTTCATTCCATACTATGGAAGACAATGGGATCCATCAACTATTTGGTTACCCACACTCTTCAAAGGATCTTCTTTTGTGTTCAACAGAAGAAAGAAACTCATACAGGTTTGGAACAACATGAGGGTGAGTAAATTATGACAGCATTTTCATTTAAGGGTGAATCTCTTTAAGCACTTTGTTCTCAAATACTAAATAAGGCCCTTTTAAAGTGCACATTATGCTCATTTAAATGTTAATAATTTAGAATCATTTAGTCTGCTATAATACATTTACATTATTTAAAGTAAAAAAAAAAAAAAAAAAAACCTATTTTTTCTCATACTGTACATTGATGCAGCACCTCTTTTCACCCTCTGCCTGAAACACTGATTTAGATCTGGTCTCTTTTAGGTCTGGACCCGAATATTCGTTTGGTGGGTTGGTATTCGATTTGAAAATGTGACATTCGAATATTGTTTTTTTTTGCACACCTGGCATCCCCCTCAAAACGGTTCTCATTCGCGCTTGAATATGTTTTACACTATAAAATCTGGTGAAATATAATACTTAACATATAACTTCGTTATAGCTACTTAATAAATATATTTGCTTCTTCTTGGACTACTAAAAGTGTTCCTGCAATGGGAGTATTCTCTGGCTAGAGCGCAGAACAGCAGAGTTTGTATGGACAGAAGTGCATGCCTGAGCTTGTGTTCTGGGTTAAAAGAGTAGTTCACTTTTTAAAAAACTTTTGCTGATAATTTACTCACCCCCATGTCATCCAAGATGTCCATGTCTGTCTTTCTTCAGTCGAAAAGAAATTAATGTTTTTGATGAAAACATTCCAGGATTTTTCTCCATATAATGGACTTCAATGGGAGCCAAACGGTTCAAGGTCTAAATGACCGTTTCAGTTCAGCTTCAAAGGGCTTTAAACGACACCAGACGATGAATAAGGGTCTTATCTAGCGAAACGATCACTCATTTAAAAAATAAATAAAAAAGTTAAAGTTTTATAGGCACAAATGCTCGCCTTGCGAACTCTCCTGTTCGAACTCGTTCATCAAAATCAACAAATCTTTTTTCGAGTCAATGACTCGAAAAAAGATTTGTTCATTTTGATGAACGAGTTCGAACAGGAATGTTTTCATCAAAAACATTAATTTCTTTTCGACTGAAGAAAGACAGACATGGACATCTTGGATGACATGGGGGTGAGTAAATTATCAGCAAAAGTTTTTAAAAAAAAGTGAACTACTCTTTTAACCCAGAACACAAGCTCAGGCATGCACTTCTGTCCATACAAACTCTGCTGTTCTGCGCTCTAGCCAGAGAATACTCCCATTGCAGGAACACTTTTAGTAGTCCAAGAAGAAGCAAATATATTTATTAAGTAGCTATAACGAAGTTATATGTTAAGTATTATATTTCACCAGATTTTATAGTGTAAAACATATTCAAGCGCGAATGAGAACCGTTTTGAGGGGGATGCCAGGTGTGCAAAAAAAAACAATATTCGAATGTCACATTTTCAAATTGAATACCAACCCACGGAACGAATATTCGGGTCCAGACCTAAAAGAGACCAGAACTAAATCAGTGTTTCAGGCAGAGGGTGAAAAGAGGTGCTGCATCAATGTACAGTATGAGAAAAAATAGGTGGTGTTGTTTTTTTACTTTAAATAATATAAGTGTATTATAGCAGACTAAATGATTCTAAATTATTAACATTTAAATGAGCATAATGTGCACTTTAAAAGGGCCTTATTTAGTATGAGAACAAAGTGCTTAAAGAGATTCACCCTTAAATGAAAATGCTGTCATAATTTACTCACATCTTGGATGACATGGGGGTGAGTAAATTATCAGCAAAAGTTTTTTAAAAAGTGAACTACTCCTTTAAGCTGCGTTGCTTTGACATTGTGGAAAATAGAATAATAGAAACAAAATGTATTATCCTTTTTACCCGTTATTATCAATCTAAATTAATCTACTGCGAAATATAGGAGACTGAGATTTTACTGGGACGTCACAATTTCATTTTTCTTTATTTAAATTTCGTTTTCTATATTTAAATTTCGTTTTTATTTATTTAAATTTCGTTTTTATTTATTTAAATCTACTAGGGCTGTGAATCTTTGGGTAGGCAGCGAATCGATTCGATTCACGATTCATCGGTTTTCGATTCAAGAACGATTTTTGCAAATTCAGAAAGATTCGATTCAGTGCGACTCACATTAAAATTCGATGCGATTCGATTAATTCGATTCTTCATTTTTTTATATGCATTCATAGGATTATTTAAATGCTTCCCCCAATGGGTATTAGTCAGGGTGTCAATTATACAGCTGCCTTCAGGGGGTCAGAGAGTAAAAAAAAAAAAAAAAAAAACGACATTTTGTCTATTGTTAACGTTAGTTCATGTTAGTTTTTAATGAATCTATTATTATAAAAAATATTTCCAAAGCCTATAAATTAGCATTTGTAGAAATGTAAACCAAGATTTAAAAAGGCTTTAAAAGTATTGTTAGTTCATCATGCTAACTATTTTGTAGGATATAGTGTTAATGGATACACAGCCTTAAAGTGTTACATTAAACATCCTTTCATTGTGAGACTAAAAATACCATGAACTTTCCCAACTAAACCTTAACTAACTTTTCCTCATGGAATAGCTACTCTTTGTTCTCTTTATACTGAACATTTTCCTTGTGATTCTGAAAGAAAACACGCCGTGTGTCTACTTGTGCTATATTAACGATTACGAATGCAACTTTAATGCGCATCTGATTGATGGATAAACCACGCGCTCTTATTTCAGTGTAATTAATGTTGTAGTTATTTCATAAGTTTTCTTCTACATTCAGTTTAACGACATTAAATTACATTTCACTCATCATTCATGATTAATTGGAAGCGTGTGCATTTTAGACACCTATTATACGTTTTCTCCTTCCATGTAATAAATGCGCACCCTTGAATAACTGGGGTTTTACTTTAACTGCTCAGGACGGGTATGACCCATGTCCATAAAACTTCAGTATCTTATCTTAAAGAAAATAACGGCGACGTTTCCACGCAACGAACGCAGCAGTGACCGCGCAATGATATGGCAGCTTTATCAATGGCTTGCTTTCTCGATAGAGAGCTGTCATCTTCTCGTGTGAAAACCAGTGGCTGTCCTGAGGAGAGCTCAAACATGGACTGCTCAGAAATCAGTAGATGAGAGCTATATGGGACCGAGCGCGAGCGAAATCCAGTTAAAGATGGTAAAGAGTGCAGCGAGCATGTGAAGGAGAGCTGTGAGGCCTCATTAATTCGCGCATGTAGTCATTTAATGTTTATATATTTTAAAGCACTGAATCGCTATAGAATCGAAAATTATTCGATTCTTAGCATTTTAAATCGAATATTGACCGAATAAACGATTCACGATTCAAAATACATGTTTCAAGATCGATGCATATGCATCGGCAGGATTTGTAATCGATGCATCAAGAAAACGAATGAATCGTTACACCCCTAAAATCTACCATACTTTGTCAGTGAGAAAAATATGATAAGACTATACCTTATTAAAAATATTGCTTAAGTTAAAAGACCTGTGTGTGTGTTTTATATCACTAGTGCAGTGTCCATTCTCGGAGCATATAAGCCCTGCTCGCGTGAAGCGCGCCGCTTCTTTATTTAAATCTACCCTACTTTGTCAGTAATTTGTTAGTGAGAAAAATATTAGACTACTTTATTAAAAATAGGGGTGTAACGGTACATGTATTCGTATTGAACCGTTTCGGTTCGAGGCTTCCGGTTCGGTACGCATACAAACCGAACGATTCCTTGGACTATTTTTCCTGCCGACAAAATTCGCGCTGGCGCGATCACTACAACGTTGCGCAACATCAAATGGCAAGCGTAATGAAAGCGGAACGAAACTGCGCTACTCATTATGTGCTTCACGGATCGCGAGCCGATCTCGATCAAGCGACACTGTTACAACACAGCGCTAAGAGATCCAGTAAAGAAAACATTTGAATTCGCCACTGAAGTAATAACATCGCTGCGAGATCTAGTGAGAAGCATTCACATTTCTCCGTTATTAACCGTAGATCTCTATAAGATCAAACAGCGCTGACGTGGACACCAGGAGAAATATTGCGCTGTGAATGATCTAGTAATACTTTACGTCCACAGACCAGCAACATTCACCATGGATTTAATATAGTAACTGTAACCAGTTTGGCTGGAATAGTGAAATGCTTTCAAGTACTTCACACATCTTTTTCCAGCACTTCAAAACTCAAATATTATATAAATAAATATATGAAGAGTTCAGATGCAAAAACCTCTATAAGTGCCATTTGAAATTTTCTTCTAGAATGATCATTTTTATGAAGCTTGTATATTTAAGTTCAGTAATTTCACTCAAATGACAATTAATAGGTAATCTTCATTGCCATTTAAGTGAAATTACTGAACTTAAATATACAAGCTTGATAAAAATGATCATTCTAGAAGAAAATTTCAAATGGCTTTTGCATCTGAACTCTTCATATATTTAAATGTTATTTTTAATGTGATGACCAAAACATTATTTGTTCATCCTTCAAAGATGACACCCATTTATAAACCTGAAAGTTTCAAGATGTAGGAAAACTCACACTTATTTAAAAAATATTTTTTCTTTTAACAAATAGGAAATTTCTCTGGCATTTCTTACTTTTTGCTGTATCGAAAACGTACCGAACCGTGACTTTAAAACCGAGGTACGTACCGAACCGTGATTTTTGTGCACCGTTACACCCCCTAATTAAAAATATTGCTTAAGTTAACAGACCCGTGTGTGTGTGTGTTTTATATCACTAGTGCAGTGTCCGTCCTCAGAGCATATAAGCTCTGCTCGCGTGAGGCGCGCCGCTTCCCGCTCGCGCTGTTCTGTAGTTTATTCATTCTTAACGCGTCGCGTCTCGCCTGTCTATCTATATTGCACCAAATACGACACTGCACTCTCTTGTGAAGTCGTTTGGATGAACGGTTCTCGAAATAATCAAAATGCAAACGGACAGACAGACATTTAGAGATTCCGAAGCTTCGAATATTCGATGTTCATTACTACCGAAGCTTCGAAGCTAAAAAAAAATGGTATTCGGACCAGCCCTAGTCTCTTTAAAACGGCCTTTCCAAAAAGCCCAGTCTGCTTTGATTGGTCATCTGGCCCAGTCTGTTCTGATTAATCTACTGCTCAGAGTGTGTGTTGGAAATGGTAACGCCCCTTGCCATAATCGGGTTTCAGCTTAAACTGAGGCTTCATAAGCAGCTGAAAATAAAAACAGCATCGCCTCAAGATAGCAGAATCATTTGAGGGTGAGGCAAAGCAGCCAGTAGGCGGACACTGCGCAAATGTCTAACATGGTGACGTAGCGAAGTCACGGAAATAATGGCAGGACTAAAAACGAGTGTTTCAGATAAGTGCTTTCTATTGGAGTGATTCACTCCCTTTGGCATGGACTATATTACACACTAAAGGTAAGGTAAAAAAACAATAGGTCCATAATAGGTGTCCTTTAAATGACTAAAACCAACCTTGTTGTCAACAGCCAGGACAAGCAGACAGCACACCTCCACAAGCACAGCCCCGCTCTCTGACAGAGAGCTTAGAGTGGGAGACTTTGACATCTCTGTACTATGACATGGGGACCCACCGGGCTCCTGAGCTGCAAACAAAATGGTAAGGAAAAAACCAAGCTTATTTTTCACACATTATCCTTACCAGCCCAACAACAGTCATAATTTCTGTGTTCTGATTTGTTTAGTTTTTGTGTAATGCTCGTTGGTTGACTACAAGGTACCTGTTTTTAGCACCACGAGGTGGAGTGAGTCGTCTCTGATGTATGACACAGCCGCAATGTCGTGGATGGGTACGCGAAGAATGATGTCCTCTCCGTCACGCCACACGAGCTTCACGTTGTATGCTGACAGACTGACAACAGCATCCTGCTCTGATGTCAGCTGCCCTGCCAACTGATGAGACTTCTGCAAAAGACATAAGCAAAATGGGAATTTATCTCTTTATATTGCAAAATAAGGTAGTCTCTGCCTGTCACGCTTACCCTGGCATTGTCAATAAGCTGCAAAACTTCTGTACGACTGGAGGGATTCAGATATCCAGGAACTGAGGTCAGCTGTCCCAGATACTACAACAGTAATAACAACAATAATCATATAGAGCCTTTCTAGAACACAAGATCACTTTACAAAGCAAATAAAAGCGGGCCGAGAACCCAACCCTGGGAGACGCCACATGTTGACTAGGTGGAGATTTGATAATAATAACAAAATGCTGCAGGATGTGATCCAGACTGAGTTGTGATATCAATTACTTAGGATAGGCAGGTAGGAAGTATATAGAGGGTTTGCATTGACGTCACTTTCCCGCCGGAAACACCCCCTCTGCCGGACTAGAGTGGCAAAAGAGCTGCTGCGTGACTGGATCTAATAGGAGAAACTATTGAGTAAAACATGATTATCAGTTTAAACTAAAGGTCGATATAGTGTTCCTTACAACCTTACAACCAGTGATCCATGGATATTGACATGCAGCCATGAATCGTGTTTCCTGACATTTATATGCCCCTGATTTCGACGCCAAGGAAATACATAAAGCAAATTTGCGTGTGAGCGCTTTATATAAATACAATATAGGTAGGTCTAAATCTTGGTGATCACTCATATCAATGTTATATATATCATCGAGCCCTAAAACTTATAGTATAGTTTGAATTGATATAGTATAACATTTAATTGAGGAGTAGTCAATACAATATATAAGGTATGATTTTACCCCTAAATTCAGCATATTGACACAAAACGATAACTGCAAATCCACCTTTCGCTGGCTGTAGTCCAGTTGTTTATGAATTCCAGCGATCCATTTGCTTCTCTGTTCTGTAGCTTTCGGCAGTCTGTAAAAATATACCTCAGGTTTCATGTCAAATCTAGTTGTATAGTCGATCACAAAGCTCTTTCCCGTTTCAGATGTGTTTTGTATGTTTTCGCGGCATTCACGCCGAAAGCCAATGCTGCCGCTCAGTCTTTCTGCCACTCATTGGGCGTAACTGCTGTCCTTCCAGCCGACCGTGACGTCACGCGCATACCCTCTATTGTGGAAGTTACTATTCAAGCTGTAGAGCTTGAATTCAGGAGAACAATATTAAGGGTAATCGAGGGATGAGTTCATTTTCATGCTCTTGATTTTGATTGGACGAATCCCATTTGAAATCAGCAACAAAAGATACGAGAGGTTTATTCTCAGCCTATTCGATTTGATATGTTGTTAACTATGCATTACTATTTATTAAGCAGCATTTATTTGCATTTCCCATTTTAATGTAGTTTTCTAGCTGTCTGCAATCTTACCAGTACAGTTTCAGGAGTTGTTCTTCTCTAACTTGAAGCCTTTTTACCCTAATCAAAATAATAAAATATAAGCACATAACAGAAAAACCTAAATTAGAAGGCGAGTGATACCTTAACTTCCTTCTCAATGTAGTCATTGAGCAGAATGTCTGGGTCGATACGGTGGTCCGGGAGAGAGAGGGAGAAGGTGTGGAGGGCCCTGCGCTCAGTGGACTTCTCTAGAGCCTTCTTATCTCTCCCCTTCTCTCCTTTCAGAAACACTCGCTTGAATGGAGACACAATACCTGGCTGCAGAAAGAGAGAGAGGAAATTACACCATGACCAGAGGAAGTCAAAAATACAAGAGCTTTTTTTCAGTGTGACCATAATTGTATGCGTTTGGTCAGTGGCTTGCTGTGCCAAAATGGTTTTGGCTAATGTATTGTATACACTTCACATTTATATGCAGGATTTCCACTGACAACATCTTTGAATTCTGTGATCTGAACTGATGGGGCAACTGTTCAAACCATCCCAAGCCTGCCAGTACATCAGACTACATGGAAGTGTCAGTTGCACTCAAGTATCTTATACATTAAAACAGTCAGTACAATCAGTGAAATATATGCATTGACATGCTGTCCTTCCAATTCAAATACACTATTGGTTAAAAAAACAAAAAAAACAATAACATAACCAACTAGTCTCGGCACTACATTGGCTTGAGGGCTTTTATGAAACCCAAACACCTCTGCAAAGCATAATGACATCAACATTCATGGAAAAAGACTGCTATTTAATCTGTGGTAAACCCAACCACTAATGGCAGCTTCTTGCTATCCAACAGAAAAGTCTCTTGAAAGTAGTTAAGGCTGAAAACTGGAGGCGGACCGAATGTTTAAGCAACCACATTGTTTTTCAAAGTCTGAGGATTTGTTATGGTAAACTGCACATTGAAATGACTTTTCAGAAAAGAAACATGATTTCTGCGAGCCCTACCTCGGTCTCCATGATCAGCCACTACGACGACACAATGGAAACGGGCGAAGTGCGACAGCTCTCTTCTACAACAGGTGACAACTGTTGCAGGCTGCTCTCGAAACAGGTCGCATGTGGCTAGTGACAAATGAGATCTGGGCCAAAGCAGCGAGAGAAACCACACCCCACGACACACACACGCGTCCCCACACACAAACGCTCACGTTCTGACTTAAGCTATAGTTCATGCAATCAGGAAGAGCAGAAACCACCATTTCCTGTGATGAAACACTCAAACAAAAAGAAAAAGGTACGTGAAACTGTCGTCCCTGCTATAAGTTGATCTTCAATTATGGCATAAATGGATATTAACATGGATATTGAATTTAATTAATTAGGTGCAAAATACTAGGCTGTGTAGGAAGTAATATAGAGGAACCGCCAAAAATAATTATGCCATTCAGAGTCTAATAATACAGCCTAAAAGTCTATTAAAGGTAAAGACAAGCCAAATCTCACATTATGACTAATTTTGTAAAATAATCATATATGGGTCTTGAGACTAAATAAAGATTTAATGTCTTAAATACAAATAACACGGTCCTATAAGCATTATTAAACAGGCGAGGCAAATACATTACAGTATTTAACGGCCCTGGCTCCATTTTAATATCCACCGTGGGGTATTTGGCCTGAACAATAAGGTAATCAAAAACATTCCATGCAGAAAGGAATATTCTCATGTCTGTTTTCATCAATAAATCCAAGACATACTGTTTGAGACAAGCCTAATTCTCTCACTTACTAAATGATTGAACAGCCAAGGAAGGAGACACTACAGGAACATCAACATTTCATGAGTCTGTGTCCTGATGAAATTTCAGAAAACAAGGTGAACAGGTGATCCTCACCTGGATTAAAAAGACATACACTGTCTGCAGTTCAAAAGTTTGGGTCAGTAAGATTTTTCATGATTAAATTGATCCAAAGTTACAGTTAAAGAGCAAGACATTTATAATAATACATATGTTTTCTATTTCAAATAAATGCTGTTCTTTTGAACTCCACAAAAATATTAAGCAGCAACTGATTTCAACATCGATACGGTAAACAACACTAAATTCAGCTTTGCCATACCAGGATTAAGTTATATTTTAAAATATATTAAAATAGAAAAATAGTTCTTTTAAATTGTAATAATACTTCATACTCTATTTTTTTTTAAATCAAATAAAATGCAACCTTGGTTAGCATAATCATTTTTTGAAAAACATTAAAATAATCTTACAGACTCCAGACTTGTAATGTAACTTGTAAAACTAGTAATGCTACTATAGAAGTTTGATGTTTGTCTATTTTAGGTTTTACAAAAACAGTTTGACTTGTGTCTTGCTGGAGTTTACATTAGCAATTGGTTACACAAATTGAATACTTACAAATTGAATACATGTGTCTTGGTTTACAAACCAAAATTTAAATTATACAACTATTACATACTGTAATTGTGGATTTGCAGTAGGTTTTCAAATGGCTATTAATGAAAACAAACTAGCCGAACACACCCATCCATAGTTTTTCTTTTACACTGACTTTGACAGTGAATAACTCAATGACTCCAGCTTGTGGCCACTTGGGGGAACTTATCCTCTCAGCTAAATCAGACAACCAAAACATTCAATAACAGTTGGTTCCATAAGGTACTAAAATCCCATCCCATCCCAAAACGGACTGTAACTCTAGTGGATGTCAAATGATTTGCTTTATTTGGATGTCATGTGGCCTCTCTGACTGAGGGGAAGAAACAGTGATGATTAAGAGGCAGACACAGGGGGCGTCACATCCTGTCTGAATCTTTGGAGAGCCCAGCCCTTCATTCTCCCCTGCGTATGAGGAGGAAAGTCTGAGCTCGGCATGGAAACACCTCCCCTACCATACAACGCTGATAGGATAGGAAAGGTCACATCATGAAAAAAAACCCTGTCTGTGATCCCGCCATTCCTGACATCAGATAACGCCATTACTGTAGGCTTATTAAATTAATCATCGGATAGATGAGATCCAATAGAGCCGGAGATTTTTTCAGGTCCAATAATCTGTGCTCCCAGTTTATAAATGGTTTCCTCATTTTCAAATTTGTAAAAACTGTACCTTCAATTTTGTGATTTGTACTCAGAGATTGACAAACATTTGTAAAGTAATTCCCTTAATTTAGAAAACTGCTCACTAAATAGGGCTAATTAATATGGGATGAATTATATACATAATATAAAGAAAATTATTTTGTTGAAATAATATATAAACATGCAAACACACACACACACATATATATATATATATATATATATATAGTGCTGTCAAATTGATTAATCGCATCTAACAAAAGTTTACATAGTATGTGTATATATTATCATATGTATCTGTGTGTATACACAGGCACACACACAAATAATACACAGTATGTAAACAAAAACTTGACAATTTGACAGCACACACATATACACACACACATATAGGCTACATAATATATATATATATATATATATATATATATATATATATATATAATCTGTAATACTAGATTTACAATATTAGGCTTACGATCTAGCCTATATTATTTTGCCAAAGATCTAAGAATACTTTGTAGAACTTTTGTGTCTTGTAGTTTTTGGTGACATGTTTACTGTATGCTGGGGAGTTTGTTTATTTTACAAGGCAAATGAATATTATTTTAGGATCATATGAGTTAAATAAAGGCAGTTTCTAAACAACAGGGCCATGCTGCAAACCTGTGGGTGCAGTTTATGAACTTGTGAGTAGCAACAGATTGTATAGAAAACCGAAACAGATTAGAAAATTGCGGGTACAGATAATCACATCTCAAATATTGTTCTACGTGGCCATAGGGGGACTCTGTAAAACCCAGACCGAGGTAAGAGTGCGATACTGAAAGCCATGAAGAAATTCAGAAGAATCACAGATTTTTGTCACAAAAGTAGCAATCACAGTCTCGGGGTTTATCAGGGTGGCGCGACTTTGTACCACGACTGACCTAAACCACCAGCAATTTACCTACAAATCCAGTCGGGTCACGAGAGAACTGGTTGAGACTCTTCTAAATATCAGAAGAGGTTTTACAAAAAATGCGAGTGTTTTTAACAGGCTGAAGAGCTTTATTGCAGGTGTTTAACCGTGGTTAGGCCAACACTTTTCAGCTACTAACCAGTTTTGCTGATCATACACGTGTAAGCTCTCGAAACATTACAATGTTAACTTACCTTTTTCACTTTCTTTACATCATCCTCCATCTCTATGTACAAATGCTCTTCATTTTAACTGTATTAGATGCAGTGATGTCCACAATTTCAGTGCCATCTGCCTCATACACGTCAACGGTGTACCGATCTAAACTAAACAAACCAACGATCCAAATCACGTGCTCGGGGATCGGAAATAAACGACAAACCTTCTTTAGCCTGGTAAAAATAGGAATTTATTCTAAAGGGGACAGAGACCGACCAAATAGAATAAAATAAAACAAAAACAGCAGCAAACTTTTCAATCCTGCCGCCATTTTGGGCGTAGGACGTCTACCCACAGTGCTTTGCGAGAAAAACAGAAAACCTCATCAGCACATTAAACTACAAACTAAATCCATATGGTATTATTCATAAACCCTAAAAAACTGTTTAGGCCACTTTATGGCGTTTCAGGTGGTGCATTGTCTTTAACTACAACTGTAAATTAATAGTAACTCTGTATAGCTCTCTGGCCAGAGAGGAATGGGGTCCACTAGGGGGCCTCAGCAAACTTCTTAAAGGGCCACAACATTAATTCAAACAATATAACTTAATTAAAATGCCAAAACAGCTAAAAATGATTATTTCAAATATATATCAAGTGGCATGTTTTTATTGATAGATGTATGCAAAATTCACCACAGCAAATTATTTTAGTCTATTGATATTCTAATTCTATCTATTATAACCACCTCCAAAATAACACTATATTGTTATTATTGTTAATCGCATCCGATAGTCCTGAACATGTGGTTACATGCTTAGATATATGAATAAGTTATGAATAAGAGTATTACGAATAAATTACAGGGCTTTATAAAATGAATTATAATAACGTAATATCTTTATTAAACAACAATTTGTTACTCTGGGAAATCTATCTCTATCATATCAGTATACATTCACATACACATCTGAACATATACATTAGTATATTACCACTTTTATCTGTCATTGGGCAAATTATGCATAAACGTAAAGCATACAATTTTGAATATACTAACTTTCAAATACTATAATAATTTTTCCAGTCTTCAGTGATGAACAGTCTCATATATAGATCTACAGTAAGGCTCAACATATTCTTTTTCCCCCCAATATATTCCCTTTTCCACCTAAAAACTAAGGTTTACAAAAACAACCATAGCACCATGTTGTCAGTATTAGTAATATGTTTCCCAAAAACGAGGTCTAATGCATTACTAGACATCAGTTTTGTTCTCAAATAATGGCAATCAAACAAAACAATTTACTTTCATTTGTATTTGACAACATCAAATAAATATATTTTTTTCCCAACATAAGTAATGAGTACAGTCAGTTAAGAAAAAATAAATGTTACAGATAGTAGCAAATCATTTGCTTATAATGTTGTGCCTTATTTCTTTAATACCCCATGTGAGAAATACAATGACGATCTAACACAATCTGTTTGGCAGGTGATTTACCCGTCTCCAACAGCATGGATAACAACTCTAAAAATCAGCAGCAATTCATCTGACAACCATAATCAATCATAAGATTATTTTCCAACAAAATATACAGCCAGCTCTACAATAACAGAAGAAATACACATAGGTTTAGGACATAGAGATGACAGGAATATACAGCACGGCAATCACCTTATATGTTTAGCGATCCCTTTTTATCAGAAGTACTTTTAGGCCTGGATGAATGTCAAAATGATGCATTTTCACTTTTTTTTTTCACTTACGAGAAATCCTAGTGCAGATTTTAAACACCTAAACATTTTTTTAAAACAAGTATACATAAAAATGAACAATAATTTGGGGAAGAAGTAAAAAATTAAGATATTTTCTGCACCAATGCTTCTTTGTGCAGGTTGAAACATAATACATGGCACCATATTTCAAAGAGAGATGTTTGGCTGTAAACTGTGTTGAGGTGCTTGTTCTTCCAGAGAGGAAAGTGTCCGTGAGCTTAAAGAGGCAGGTCTATCGGACGGTGGCCTTGCTTAGTGAGCCACAACAGGGGTCCTGCAGTCCACATGTGTGGTAGCACCTTACGAATATGTTGATAAGCACCAGGTCAAGAAACAAAAATGCACCGTTTTGTGGTCGTTTTGTCATCAGAACATTTGGCTCTTTTTCAATACCAATCATTGCAGAACCACTGTACAGAACTGGATTTGATGACCATAGATGCTCTTTGAGAACCCTGGAGCAATGGGTGGGACGTTGCATTGAAGAAAACATGCAAGTGTGTTGGAGGGGTCACCATAGGATGCATTTTGTGGACATGCTAAAAATCCAAAGGATGTAGAAGCAGTCTGAAGATGGTTCACCAGCAGAGGCCTTTAAAAATGTGTCCAATGCCATCTCAGATTTAAGTTGAAATATTCGATCCAGTGAGCACCATATTTACGTACCCCACTTTTTCTATTCTTATTGGTCTACACACATTTTGTACTTTTTTTCTTCTTCTTTTTTTTTTTTTTTTTTTTTGCAGGCATAAATCCATTTGGCTAGACATTTTTGTTCACAAGACAAACGACAGAGAGAAAAGATTAACTTGTTGGCACTACAGCTCATTCGTTTTGCAAGACAGAGGAAGGCATAGACAGAAGTACATTAACAATCATTAAAGAAATTGCTAACTTCATCATAACTGTCATTTGGTACCCAAACAAACCTCATTCCTTTTTTCGCATCTGCTCATAAAACCCTTGTGAATGATTGAATGGAAATTGTCTGTCTCATTACAGTACTGAGTGAAATTTGAATGGAGATAGAGACACTGGCATTGTTGTTTGCTGCACTGGCTGCCATGGCTATACAGAAGCACCCAAAAAGACAAGGCACCACAAAGAATTCGATATTAGAGACTGGTCCCACTCACCCACCCCACACTAGACATGTACAAGTGGAGGCATGACTTTAACATCCACTTATCTGATGTGTAACTTCTTTGACTAGTAAGGCGGTAATCTAAAACGAACCAATTCGCGATTATACGTGTGCTGTACGGGGGTTGGATTGGTTTCAAATCCCTCCCTTTATGTCTGCTCAAACGTGGCAATGTTGGTCACTACACATCATGCTAATGCGCAAGTGGAATAATAGAAGGAAATATCACAGTGTAGTTGAAAATATCACCTGGTCTGTCTTACCTCAAGTGCGTTAGTAGAAACCGATTCTGTAATTGGACTATGAACGTATCATGGGATGCCAGGCAGCCGAGTCACACAACCGTAAAAACAAGTTAAAGTAGCCGTACACATCATAACATAACAGGGTTGGTGATATCCCAGCAAACAACAGTGCATCAATGTGCCAAGCACCTACAGGATTGGAATATCGGTGACTGTTACAGGCACTGTAAGGGAACAGGGAACAGAAACGCTTCGTATAGTTTCAACTAAAAACCTGATATCGCGAGGATTACTGAATTTTGATGTTTAGGAATTAGAATTCCTTGCATGAAATCGCCTGCCCATCCCTGATTCCCTTTAGCCAGGTTATAAATCTAAGTTGTTATCTTGAAAGCAATCTTTCCCTAATTTTTGCATTTGAGTAGGCCTATCCCAGATAGCCCTCGCATGAGAGGGGTGGAGGAGTCTGAGCAGCAACCAAGGATGGAGCTGAAGAGGTAAGACCTACAAACCAAAGTCACACACACACACATACACACGAATGCGCATTCTCACTGATAGCTATTGTCTATCCTCGTGTTCTTTTCCATCCCTGGCAAAAAAACAAATAAATAAATAAAAACCTCCACCTCGTCCGCTACAACCGATCTGAAGTCTGCTGGGAAAATTGCAGCAGGCACAAATGAGGTTTGCAGCAGCTCATGCGGTGAAACTTGGCATCCCATGTTAATGCCTGCACTTATCTTGCCTGGATGCTAAGTGTCGGAACAACAAAAATGACCTCAGCCCCCTCAGAGCAATTCATTCATTCTCAATTGAATCAATGAAATCTGGGGGAAAATTACCTCAGGATTGGAGGTAAACAAGTGGCTTTTTATAGAGGTAACCCTCAGTGTTGTTCTGATTGCACCGTATATAGGATAACCAGGGCCGCATTAAGAGCTCACTGGGCCCCGGGGCTATGAGTTACTGCAGGGCCCCCCACCACTACAGGTCACCAACTACATGAGCTAAATGTTCTATCATTATACGAGTCATTTTATCCATCTATGATATACTTCACAGTTCAGTTATATTACTTTTAAAACGATTTTTTATCATATCAAAATTTAATGGCACTAACATTTCAACTCAAGTGCGCTGTGCAAAACCGTCTCAAGTTCACCATCATTTAAAATAATTTGTATCCAAAGTCAAACCACAATGATTAAAAACGCGTTTAATTTATAAACTTACATCATGATGTCTCAGCAAAATTTACATATTTCTACCGGATATATTATCGCCAGCCCTTTAGGTGAATATAGAGTTTGATCAAACACAAAAAGCAATATCAAACATCCATCAAGTTAATAATCAAACTTACCGAAAATTTGTGGGGTCGACGATGACGCTGTGTTTTAAAAAATAGTCTAGACTCTAGATGAAGTGAAGGGTGGAGGCGATTTATTGGTTGATGCATGCGTAGCTATATTCTAATAAGGCGCAGGCACTCCAGGCAGCCATCTATAGGCCTATGTGCAGCAGCAGGTCGATCGTTCACAAGTTAAATATAGAATAAATGTATTATGTTAAATTAAAACGTGACGTTTCATTTCACCATGCCCTGTCCTGCTGACCACGGGGGTTTGATTGACAGGCGACATGGCCAATCAAAACGCCGAATACGCAATTTTGTCCGACAACAAAGCTGTCAGTAGATTAACGTCGGTGGACTTGAACTTGAAAACGGTATTGTTTAAATTATTTAAATTACAATATTTGAAAGCTGAGACTTTGTTTTATATCAACAGTAAGCTGCTCTGAACTCTCTCTCGTAGTCAATTGTGTAACGTTACGCGTTAGTCTTTGCCCCGCGATGTATTTTTTCACTGCGTTAGAACATGATGTGCGTGACTCGTGAGAGCCGCCTGGCTTGTCACACAGTAACTAAAAAAGGCGGGTCTTTGCGAACGGTCACTATAATATTAATGATAATGATTCCATGATAATGCATGGAATATTCGGCAAAGCGCTACTAAATAACAGGGCTAATTTGTGGGGGGCGTTGCGTGGTAAGGATTTGGCAATCAGATGGCTAGTATCTGCTCCACAGCCAATCAAGGGCCCCCTCCTTGTTCGGGCCCCGGGGCTTTAGCCCCGCCTAGCCCTATTGTTAATGCGGCCGTGAGGATAACGAAGAAAAAAAAAAGCATAAAAAATTG